ATTTAAAAATAATTATTACAGTTGGATATAAGATTTCTAATTGAAAAAGGAACATGTTTTAACCCTCAAATAGAAAACCTCACACTTTATTAAATGACCATGAAATAAAATTAATAAATTAATGCTACCATTCTTCCGTCACATAATCAATGCGGATAATCACTAAGGAAATTATTAATGAATTACCGATAGTTTTTAATTTATAAACAAGTTATTAAAAGAGTACATTAATTTTAAAATTAAACAGTTGAAAATATCGGGATTTGTGATTTACTTCCTTTTTGTTTTGCTTCTGTTTACCTGGCCGATTAATGTGTATAAAATGGTATCACCTGGCCGATTAATGTGTATAAAATGGTATCAACACTCGCGGTTTCAATCGCCTTCGGGCAGAAAATCAATGCATGTTATTTGTGTATACATATCAGCGTTTCACATCATTGAACATGCTGGTCGACATTGACCTTAATTTCAATCTATGTAAAGCAAAAATAAAATTGATAAATGGAATGTGTATGAATTTCTTTCAGGATTAACTAATTTTGAACATAATCTGAGGGTTCCATTCTCGTGATTTACAGATGTACACTCTAACATTTACAAAAAAGCACTTAAAACTTAAAGCACAGTGTAATAGAGATAGAGAAATTTCAAATAATTAAATTGACATGTCAGTAAAAATAATCATGACTGAAAAATAATACTTGGCAAAATTAACAAAGAATTTTTTAAAAGCCTCAATACTTAAGAAAATTTATTAGAGTATCCCGATAGTATGGAAATTGGCCATATAACGATAAGATCTATTTAAAGCTAATTCTGGTGGAAAATAATTAATTCACGTTTAATTTTCTGTATAAAAAATAAATATTGGAAACAGTATCAATCACAGAAAACAAAGAAATCGAACTATTAATATACCAGAAAATTATGATTAATTAAATCAATAAATAATAAATTTTAATTTTAATTAATTTCAATTTGGGACTGCTCTGGTGTAATGTTCATGTTCAGTATAATTTTATACATGTACGTGCTAAAGCCTTCTTCCTTCAATTAGTATTATTTCAATTTGTTTCTATGCGCGTACTGTTCATAAATGACCTTTGCATACATGTGAGGATTCCAGGCATACTACACAGAAACAATTTCTTTAGCCGTTTATAGTTCCATTTTTTTTTTGGAAATCTCATTTCTGAGTTAGCTCCGCCCATTAAATTAATAAACCCCGCCCTCTGGGACTGCTGGGACTGCTTTCTGGGACTGCTGGGACTGCTTTCTGGGACCGCTGGGACTGCCTTCTGGGACCGCTCTGGGGCTGCTGTGGGACTGCTCTTGGACTGCTCCGGACTGCTTTGTGTCAGGTTGGGTCTGGTCGGTACTGTATCTTAAGTATACATTGATGTATGACAGTAAAACATTATTATCTAAATTATTTTTTTGAAGGGGGGGGGGGGGAAGTGAGGGGGCAATAAATGTTACCTTCCCCAACTCCAATATTTAATTGAAAGGGGGGCTTGATTAATTTGCATTAATATTTTTTTAAGTTAAATATTTTTTTTATCTAAAACTATTTGAAAGGCTTCTTAAAAACATCTTCTAGAACAAAAAGTCAGTGACAAATTGAATACCGAGATGTCCTAATAAAATATGACAAAATCAAATAAAATATTTTTCTTTCTCAGCTTTAATAGGAATATATAGCTATATAAGAAATGCAGTTTTATTTTCTTCTACAGTTTTAAATATCAAATTATTGCATATTGTTGTATTTAGAAAAAGACTAATTTCTTCTGAGGTCATAGCTATATTGTAAATGAGGTCCATCTACAAATGAGTGCAAAACGTCTTGTAGATAACATTGTGATTTTTTTTAACATTTATTTCTCAGACTTATAGCAATGAAGAGTTGATATGTAGGGCAGCTGCCAGGGAAGGGGCCCTTGCTAAGCTCCCTCTGTAACAATATAAATAGACAATAGTAGTCCCTACAGCACCACACAGGGTGCTTTCTTGTTTAAATACAAAATCTTACTTACAAAATAATTTTACATCTATTACATATCAATCAAATAAATATATGTGTATATAAATCTGGAATCAGTTTTGGTGAGAGAATAAAACGTACATATATAACTGTGAAAAGATAATTGTATTTTTATTTAAATCTGTAGTGAGGAAAACAGGTAACAGTTAATTGAAGTCTGTAAGCATATCTTGTGTTAATTTTAAATTTCTGTTGAAGTTGCTCTAATCATTTCATAAGAGTTGAAGATTTAATTTCATTTGTTTATTGAATTCATTCAAGAATATTGAAGTAGTAATATTTCTATTTTCATACTTAATGCTGTTTGTTGTTTTCCATATTGACCACTTGTATATATAAATCAAGGTGTTAATACAAATTCGAACATTTATGGGTTCTTCAGCGAATCCCAATAAAACAATACATACATCAACTTTGATTGGATTCACTACAGGAATTTTTAACATTATATTTCGTACCACTTCTAAAAGTGGTTTGACATGTTTACATTCATAAAATAGATGTTTTTCAATATTTGGTTTACGGAAAAAGCATTTTCTATTTGATGAACCCATTTTACTTAATTTTTCTTCAGTGTATAAGATGTTATGCAAACATTTCCATTGAAATTCTTGAATCTTTTGTTTTTATTTCAGTTTTCCTAGTTTGATAAATTGAGCCCCAAAGTCTTTTCCATGTAATTTCAATTTGCATCAATTTCTCCCATTTTTCTTGAGAATTTGGAGTGATATTTTTGTTTAATACTCGTTGAATATCTTTGAGTTTTATATCTTCAAAACTTATGAGCTTGTTTGTTTCTCTTACAAATAAAAAAAATTCATACAACACAAAATAATTATTTATTTCATTACTTATTCTATTAAAAGTATTTCTCCCTTCAAAAATGTCAAGATATGTTTTAGGTACAGCGGCTTTTATTTACTGTATTCAAAAATCCAACTCTTAAGAGTTTTAAAAGTTTTACTATCGTTATCCCAAATATCTTCAATAACAGGGTTATTTTGATGCCCTAGGAAATTCCGACATATTGATGTCGACCTGGTCTTCAAAAACCAGATAGTTATTGTCAACCAGAAACGCAGCACTATTAAGGCCTACTATAAAGAAATCAATTGAATACAGACGTGCAAAAAATTGGAACTTTTTAAAACTGAATTTATTATTATAAGGCCCTTTTATTAATACATAACTGAAGTACTTATTGAAATAACATAGTATACCCCACTCTGAACTAAACAAAGTTTGGTCTCATGATAAATGCATAGTATGTGTACTGAATGGGGGTCATAAACTTTCAATATCGCAAGGGCATACCCTACCTGAAATTAAAAATTTAAGTAACATTTGTTTCTGCATACTTTGTACTTTCTGGAAAGTGCTGCTGCCTCATACAGAATTCACATTTCATTATTTAAAACTTCAAGTAAATATACCCATCTCGAAATATGTATGACCTTTACCAAGTATTTTATGTCCCTATTAAGTCACGCTCTCGATTTCAAGAAAGCAGCAGCACTTTTCATATTAAGGAAACCATCATTTCTGTATAAAAAAAATCGCTAATATCTTTTAAGTGTATGCCCTTGCAAAAAGCCGATGTGATAAGCCACCTCGATGGCTAACATGTCAAACCTGTACACATAAACACGGCAAAATTAATTACATACATTCTCTAGCTAATAATTGAATAATCGCACTAAGCAAAGGTTTTACATTGATATTAATAGCCTATCTAAAATCTGTAAATAATTTACTGTTTAATAATAAAATGCATTTTACATTGTAGAAAATAAACTTGATTTGCCTTTCACAGCACATAAATACGTCATTTTTGTCCAAAATGACGTTATGTCGACTAGTTTGCTGCGATCAGTGATTTGTTTATAAACTGTTGTCTGGAATTTAACAAGCAATTGTTTTTAATGCATTGAGAAGTTTGGATGTTGTATATTATGCAAATACAAGTTAAAATTACAAACTATATGAATCTCTTGTATTATCAGGAATTCCGAATTGTACTTACTTTTTTGTGACGTCACAGTAAACATTTCCCGTAAAAATTAGGCCCCGCCCACTTATTCAAGCACTAACAATGCTGCGAACTCATGGGTCTTTTTCATATCAACTTTCGAGTACTTCTGTGTATAATCAGAATGTTTTTTAGCATTTTAAATTGCAAATGACACACGACAAGAAAAGCAAATATCAATGCACGGACTTTGATTTTCTGTAGGGAATGCTTGCATACAGAGTAAAAAAAGTTATCTTGATTTAATTGATTTTATTATTGTTGTGTTATTAGATTTTTTTCACAAGTTCCTTGGAAATTTTAAGTAGCCATCCACATTTACATGTTATTCCAAGAAACCATTGAAAATATCGGTGTACAGTACTCCCTTAAAGTATCTTCAGTAGACATTCTGCCGAAGAGTAAAGAAAAAAATGGTAAAAAAGAATGTAGTTAACTTTGTATCTTTGTAAGAACTTTTAAGAAGATTGGAAATAAAGAAGAAGTTTCATGGTAATTCATGCCCAGTTTTAAGAAATATATATATATATATATATAAACAATACAAAACTCACAGTCATGATTTTGAAGTTATTTCCTGCTGAGCAAAGGATCTCTATGTTCCAATTTGGACTACCAGTCGTTGAATGAAATACGATTTCCTCTAAAATACAATTAAATAACAAACCGTTTTAGTATTAAATACCTCAAAGTTAAATGAAAAATTTTGATGCTCCGCCTGAAATGTCATTTGGCTTCTTAAATGTCAAGGAAAAAAGAATGGAATGGAAAGTAACATTTTTTCTACACTATTACAAACAATGTCATAAGGAAATCTATTATACACTAAATCCTTGTATTGCTTAAATATACGTGCTTTGTATATTATTTTATTATTTAAATGTTTAATTAAATTTGATGTCATATTCCAGAGGTGTATTGAAAATGGCTATGGCAGGCCCCGCTTACTCGTCTACAGAGGAGACAACAAATGCCTGTAGAGCCTGTCGACTTCTCCTGGGTCCATGTACAGATCAACTGAGGGATGTTTTACTTCACCATGTACCACCGTCAACATTCCCACACGTCATAAAACAGAAGATAAGCTATCTTCCTCGTCTGACAACACCACAAATGAACCTTATTTTACCCAGAGGTAGTAGCTATACTGGAACCTATTGTGATTTTGATATTTCTTTATTGTACATTCTGCTTAGAAACATCTGTGGTATACCACCACACAGCAAAGGTTGGGGAAATAGTCCAGATCTTACCGACAAATCTCTCTCTGCCAATATTGAGAGGATTCGTATTGCCAGAAATCAGTGTGTGCATTCGTCTGGTCCTGAACTCTCTAATGCTGATTTCAACAACATCTGGTCCACTGTCAGATCAGCAGTTGTGGACCTTGATTCCTGTCTAAGCAATTTAAATAAGTATGAAAAAGAGGTAGACTTTTTGAGACATGAGACAATGGACCCTGTCCGAGACCGTCATTTCATAGAAGAACTGAGAAAACAGTCTGAGGAAGATTCAGCAACAAGAGAGCTACTTAACAGATTGAAATGTAAATTTGATGAGTCAATTTTAAATAAAACTTTAATGTTGACCTGAATATTGAGAAAATCTGGTATCCTTAATTTACAAGAAAACTGTTCTAATTTTCAGGTAAACTAGAGGAGAGTGAAAGAGAGAGAACTGAGAATCAAAACAAAATGCTAAAAATTGTCTGTAAGTGGTTTTAAATGTAAATAGAAATATTTGTATTTGCAGTGCTTTTATAGGTAAATTTAAATTGCAGAGAGAAATTTATACAAAGAGTTAATATGGGCATTATTTAAAACTATCCCTTTCATTTCATCACTTTGTCTTACCTCTTTCAGATTTACTGATATCTGCATTACTGCTTATAAGACTAAAAATCAATTTACGACCTAATCTTTATAAATCTGACATTCAGATTCTTTAACAGTATTTTTGGAATATTTAATAACATTTTGAGACGCTTGTCTCAAGAGTGAAATCTGTGAGCATATTTAAAAATACTCGGCTGTATAGAAAGAATACACAAAATTTTATCATTTCGTATTGCAAATTTATTTGATATAATTGATAAGACATTAAAATTTTACTTAAATAGATTCGTGAAATTATTTTTTTCAATTTATTATTATTGTTTTTTGAATCCGAAGTTTGCATTTTTATTTGCTATCCCCTTGTTAAAGCTATACAAGATATGCAGCACTTTCATGGTTTTTATACACTGTGCTCTGAGAACATAGAATATGGATATTTAATTACTCTTATATTATTTTTTAGCTAACTGTGCTTTTTGTTTCCACGTGAGTGAAAAATTCTCGAGAATGACGTCAAATAAGAGACAGTCAATCAATCAATCCAACTGTGATTAATGAATTTTATTTGATGAATGTAGATCGTTTACCCTTTCTTTCTCACTCAAAACATGTAGAAGAAATTAAGTTTATAATCAATCACAATCAATGAATCACAAGTTGCCTTTCTGACTGGCTTGATTATTCTTTTATTTGTCAACTTTTATCTTTGTATAATTTTTTTAGAGATGTAACGCCTATTTATGCATTTTCAACAATTACTTACAAGGGATGTTTATTCATCCTAGACACCTGTTATTTCCAGGGGTCTGTGTTAAACATTTACATATTTTATAATATATGCATATACTATTTCCTTCATAAACGTTTGAGATTGATTACTCTTAGTTTTCTTTACTTTTCTATTTCTTGCTGTTTAGATGATATAAAGACCCCAAAGTCTGTAATCCCTCCCAATGTCAAAGGTATGTATAAATCTAATCAGAATACATATAAATCAACATTTTTTCAGACATGAAAATATATATTTCCTTATGGTTTCGCACGAGGGAAATCTAATTTTATTAACCGAATTGAACGTTTTATTTTCAAAACATTCACCCATATAATAATGCAATATTTTTAGAGGTAGGTGCAAGAAGCTTAGGAATTGTCTTTATGGAAAAAAGACAGCAAGAGGAAGGACAAATATACGCGATACGTAAAATGCTGACTGTTTTCGAAAGAAAATAGTATGTTAATAAATTACCATACCTATTAAATAAACCTAAACTCCGTATGAATTTCACATAATATTCACAATATTTGTTTCTAAACCCCTTTTTATGTGTCTTTGTACATGTCGTCTTAGTCTAACTTTACACATGATCAATTCCAAAGTTATTTGTTGTTCACTTATGACGTCATCGGTCGTAAAGTTTAACGAAGCCGAGTCTAATTTGAGTGCGCATGAATTGCGCAGCTTTTTATGCAAGAGTACACCTTTGCCAAAAAATTGATTTTAATACAAAATTAACATCACGTTTAGATGAAGTTTGTAAAAAAAAATATCAATATCATTTAAGAAGCTCAAAAAGACAAAAAAATATAATAAATTTATTCTTTTTGTCAAGATCTTCACGACAAAGAATCTATGCAGTGGAAAGAAGAAGATTGTCTCTACAGTGAAACTCACAACTTCGATGCAATGCTACAGAAAGTACGAAATAAACCGTATATGACATTTGTTGGAGTCCCAGGATCTGGAAAATCAGCAACGATTCATCACATTGCTCTTATACTCCAGAAAGAAGGATCCGAGGTTGTACCAATACTGGATATCAAGAAGATTGAAGATTATTGTGATTCGCGAAATCCACAGGTGTTTGTCATTGATGATGTGGTAGGTGTGTTAGGTCTTCAAAAACAAAAGTTAGACACACTTATAGATTATGAAAAACAAATTTTAGATCCTGCCCATAGAAATACAAAAGTTTTGATGTCATGTAGGGCAATAGTGTTTAAAGAATGTTACAAATCATTTTTTGTAAACGACAAAAACGTTGTTAAGATGGACAGTTCAGAAAATGCTTTGAATGAGGATGACAAAAAAGCGATTCTTCAGAAACATGGTCTTGATAGAGATTTGTTGTCTCCTACATTGCTGAAAGAAACATCAAATATGTTTCCTCTTTTGTGTAAGCTTTACTCAAAGGAGGAGACATTTAGAAAAGATGCTGAAAGATTCTTTACCTGTCCAGTTCAATGTATTTTAGGGGAGATTGACAGAATGCAACAGGAAAATAATTTACTGTATGCTACATTGGTTTTGTGTATGTTTAATGAAAAACTGTCTTTCGAAATATTAAAAGACACAGGGAACAGTGCTTTCTGTGAAATGAAAGCAAAAGTACTTGAAAACTGTGAAGTTGAGAATAACACAGATACATTTAAATTTCTAAAAGCGTTGTCAGTAATGGAAGGGACCTACACAAAATCCCTCTCTTGTGAGTATACATTAACTCATGATTCCCTTTTTGAAATTGTTGCCTATCATTTTGGTTGTCTGTTTCCCAGTCTCATTTTGCAATATAGCAGCAGTAGTTATATTGCTAACAACGTAAAAGTGCAAGTTAGCAAAAACGAGTTTGAGAATGACTATGAAGAAGTGAAAGAAAGTGTGAACGTCGATGATGAATTGAACGAATTGAACATAGTTGAAACAATTAGTAGTGAAAGCGGATTTATAAGGGAATCATTTGATCTCTGTATATTGTTAAGAGAAGATCAGTATTCAAATTTAGCAGATCGTTTGTATACAGACATAGAAAAGATGGAATTATATGATGTGTTTATGAATGATGTTTTAAAACAGTCCAAGGTGTGCCAGACTTTCATTGAGATATTAATGAAAAAGTCATACAAAGCGCTTAAGTCCTTATTTCTGTCAGAGCAGAAAGATATCTGCAAAATAAAAAGTCACAGGAAACGTTTGAGGGACAACATGTGGGCGAGGACTGAATGGAGCAAGGAACAGCACAGACAGGATGTTCTTGTGAATAAAGGACGAACAAATGGAACATACAGTGTGAGAGTTATCAGTTGGGTGATTTATTATGGGCATGACCGAATTCTAAAATACATTATAAAGCAAACTGAAGCACATAATGAAACGCACTCTGAACTCTTTTGGAGTTCTTTTCCCCCCAAGACAAGCCATGAAACAGAAAAGGGGAATAAGAATGTTGATAAAAATCATGCAACATACAAACAGGACAGCATTCCCTCTGAGAAAGACCGCTTATTTCTTCTAAGTTGTTACAGTGGTGACTTAGAGACATTCAAAGTTGTTAAGAAATATATGAATACAGTTTTAATAAACAGGGCATTCGAATTTTATGACACGCCACTTGTAGCAGCATGCCAGCTTGGGCATTTGAGTATAGTAAACGAACTGATAAAATCAGGGGCTGATGTCAATCTTCAAAGTAATGATGAAACACCACTGACAGTAGCATGTTCCGAGGGACATGTAAGTGTAGTAAGGAAATTGCTAGAAGCAGAGGCCGATGTGAATCTATATTGTAGAAATGATACACCACTGGCGGAAGCATGTAATGGGGGGTATATTGATATAGTAAAGATGTTGTTAATGGCAAAGGCTAATGTAGATCCACTTAGTGTTTCAAATACACCTCTGATAGCAGCTTGTAATAAGGGGGATATAAATATAGTGAAAGAGCTTATAAAAGCCGGTGCTGATGTCAATCGAAAAGGAGAATGTCATACACCACTGACAGCAGCATGTAAAAGCGGGCATTTATGTATAGTGAAAGAGCTAATAGAGAATGGTGCAGATGTCAATTTACAAAGTCGGATTAGCTATAAAATAGAATCTTTAAAGGCTAGACATTTCAGAATATATGTAGATATGCAACAGGCGGGAACATACGGCAGTTTAGCAGGAGAGGGTAATACACCTTTGATAGAGGCAATTACAACTGGACATATGAATATTGCAAACGAACTGCTTAAGACGAAGGTTAAAGTCAATATAAGAGGTCGGGATGAAACAGCCCTGACAGTAGCCTGTAAAGGTGGTCATTTGAGTCTTATAAAGGAGCTTTTAGACTTGGGAGCTGATGTCAATTTACAAAGTAGGGACGATACACCACTTAGAATTGCATGTGATGCTGGCAATATAAACCTCGTAAAGGAGCTGATTGAGGAAGGGGCTGATGTTAATCAACAATGTATATATGAATCGCCACTAATAGCAGCATGTGATCGTGGTAATATGGATATCGTGGAGGAGCTTTTACAAGCAAGGGCTGAGGTCAATATGCAGGAACCAGATGGAAGGACCCCACTTTACATACTGATTTATAATAAAACTCAAAATCTCAATCCTGCTGTAGAATTTTTGTATAATCACGGTGCAGACCCAACAATCAGTGAAAAAGAAGGCTTATCAGCCATGTGCATCGCATTAATTCAAAACAAAATTGAAATTGTAAAGCAATTATTACGAACTGGTAATAAAATTCAGATGAAAAAACTGAAGTTACATTTGTGTAAATGTTTGGTGAATATAAGAGGATGTGATGTTTTTACTGATAGTAAGGATGATGTGGCGATGACACAGAACCGTGTGTGGCATATAAATGAATTAGGAGATTTTTTTCGGACTGTCGAAAAATGCGAATGTGACGTAATAAAACATCTGTTAGTTTTAGGTCTTGGTGCCAATCAGATGATACGTGTAGAGCACATCGATTCTAGGTATGGGCATGACGTGAAACCCTTGTTGTTTGTTATGATTGATGAAAAAAGTATTGAAAACAAAGTAGAGAAGGTAACCATTCTGCTAAAAGCGGGGGCAGATGTCAATTTGAGGGTAAAGTATACAGAGAATGATTCTGTGTTAGATAGAGAGGGTGTTTCAGTTCTAGAAAGAACACGCAGACTCGTTGGTAAAGAGCAGGGGCTCGAGTACAAGAGAGTACTAAGTGAGTTGAAACAACATGTGAGAAGATACTCTGTGTAAACAAATGTGAAACATTTTTAAAAAAATATTTTTGAAGGCTAACATTGAAATATCATATTTGATTTTGATGAACATATAGTTCCCACATAACCAAACACTTTGTTATAAAAAATTATGAAAACATAAAATTTCATCAGTGATTTTAAAAGCACCATTGTATCAGAATGTTTAATTAACAATAGAAATAAAATAGATTTTAAAATTTACAATGGCAATTTCTTATTCAAGCTCCTCGGATACTGTAAATCACCTTATATTCGCGAGAACTTTATTTTAGCGTAATTACGCGAGACAGCGTGCTCGCGAAAATTTAATTCTCGCGTATAATAGCATTTCTTAAGATTATATAGAGCAATAACCACAATTCGTGAAAATTTTGTCTCGCTAATCAAGAGTAAAAGACTATCTCGCAAAAATAAGGTGACGCGAAAATTTAGTGATCTACAATATTAAAAATTGTAATTCGTTAAGAATTGTACACGAGTTTTTTTTTCATTTCATTCAATTAATTGTAAACTTATTTAATTTTTTTTAAGTGAGTGATCCTGTTTGATAATTTATATCACATTATATTATGTGTATCTTGAGATGTTCAGTTGTTGATGCATAAATTTGATATTTATATACTTTATATAGACAAAGTTGATAAAAGGTGTATGTCCGCCTTATCTGATCGAACTCTAGCTATATCTGAGGACCCTTGTATAAGCGGCTGATTAAATCTCTGCTCATTATAATCAGCCGTCACAAGTGTAGACTGACAAATGCTTTACACAACTCGGAAGCGACAAAATGTGCACTTCTTTTCATGCAGAAAAATAAGACATCAATCTTACCAAATGTGCACAAGTCAGTGCAGTATTTCAACAAACACAATTCGTATACATAACTGCAACTGAATGTGTACAAATGTAATGCAAATGCAAACCACATCGAACATGATTAGCCAGTGCACACTGAGTGATACCCGTGCAAGAAAAACAGTCAGATGTAACAAATGCGAAGAGTATACCCCAGAACTGATATCGACGATAGTAATATTGAAAATGGTGTATATATTCGAGTGGTTCAGTTTTTTAAGTACGCAATGACAATGTTCCATATATAGGGTGGATTGCTATAACGCCCTGTTTTGGTAATTATTATTCCTCTTCCATGTGAAATGAAATAGATCCACAATATTAAAGAAGCAAATGAATTAATATTCAACATGTGTAAGACTTGTTAAATTTCATTTCATACAATATTTGGTTTCCTTTTCAAAGACCCTCAATGTCCTCTATTAGAAAATTGTACTTTCCAAAAAAAAAAATATATGTGAATTTGCTTCTACAGTAATTGTTATATGTTGATTTTTTTTCTTCAAAATACAATGAAATAATAATAATAATAAAAAATATTATTAATTATTTTTACTCAACCAAAAGTATTCCTTAATTCAATCACATGTGCGCTTTCAAACGAAATGATAAAAAAATTAAGTGAATAATAAAGATTTTCAACACTTGATATTATTTTCATTGAACGTATTTATGATTATTTATCCTCATCTTATAAAGGAGAAGGATTACTTTGTGTATTTTTTTTTAAAAAATCTTTACAAAAATTTTTTAAATGACCTTTGTGTACAGAGTTTAATGAATATTTTAACCCCTTCAATGGCAAAGATTTTAAACATTTCTAGACAAATTGATATTAAGGTATCAATGCATTTTTTCAGGAATGCTTAGTAATTTTTGTATATACAAATATATGTATATTCTGAGTGCAGGTATTGTGTAGTTCTTCAAAATTATTTTGAAAATATAATTTCAGTTAATTTGGGAACCAAATCATGCTGGAATTTCCAATTATTCAGGAATGACGGTTTTTTCTAGTTTTCTTTGGCTTATTGAGATATATTTAAAAGTATTTTATTGTTGTGTTAAAAATGATCCGCATGTTTTACATTTTTCAAAACCAATTTTAGGGACAAATGATATGATTTTTCTTAAGAAACTTAGTATCTTGTCAAAAGTTTTAAAAAGTGGATAATTTTTAGAATTTTTCCTGCTAAGAAGTGAAAAATGAAAAAGACTTGGAAAATATTACTAATATTTCAATATAATTACAAATATGGACAAAAAACACTCAGTAAAGGTTGGCAGTTGAAAATAAATTTCAGAATATGTTATATTGGAGCTAAAAATGTAATATAAACTTTAGAAAAATATATCGAGCCAGTTGAATTTTATCAGGAAAAGCAAAAGGATATGAAATCAGCAATACTGTAAACAAAGGATTATACGCGTGCGATAAATATCCGCGAGTTCCGCGAGTAAACTCTGCTCGCGGATATTTATCGTCGCGAACCAGTTGTTCATTTTCCCATGTTATGATTAGAGTTATTTGCCCTTTTTTGAATACCGATCCCGGCAGTTCAATAAGTAATCACAGAAGAACTTTAGTGTTCTAGAAGCAGTTGAACTTTAATTACAAACATTCAGAAAAAATATATAAACGAATTGCAGATCTAAAACTATTTGTCTAAAAAGGATTAAAATTCAATAATTGCTTAAGCTTGTGTTATTATTGTTCTTTATTGTCACAAACGAGTTAGAGATAGCCTGGTTAATTACGACTAATTATGGCCCAGTCCTGCTCCGTCCCAACCATTTATAATAATTGCCCTTTGGCTATGTAGATCTTGTAAAACGTCAATTACCCAATTAGCATGAGGTACTTTTACACCTGTGAGTTTGAAACCGACTTTAATCTCCTCGATTTTTTTTCCCGATTTTCATTCTAGCGTCGTGAATAATGCGTAAGAAGTATTATACTCATGGTAACATTTTACCTACTTTAGGTGCGGATATAAGATTTTTAAAAATGGACGCAATGCACAGAATGTCTTGAATGATAATGCGTAAGCAGTACTCACAGTAGCATTTTACCTAGTTTATGGGCGGATATAAAATTTTAATCTGATACAAAAAAATACTTGTGGAAATTTAAAAAAAAATGACCACTTGTTCGCGGAAATAAATCGTCGCGGATTAGTTCTCTAGCGGTCAGTTGCGAATAAAAAATGACGCATATAATAATTGGTTTACAGTATCATAAAGGGTGATTTTTAACTTTAATTACATCCGTTTCAGATAGAATGATTACTGATTGAACTAAAATTGAAGGTTTGTTTGTATTCTCGTCATTGGATACTTTTTTGAAGCAGCGTGAAGTTCATAAAATATTATAATTAAAATAAGTCATTGTATTTACTAATGATTAAGTACATTATACTTTATATTAGTATATTTTCATATTTATAGTCCATTTTATAGCTGACCTGTTATAATTGATGAAGTTGTATGTGTATCTTGCTCGTTGTAGGTGTGACAGTGCTGTGTCCTACTTTTGTATTGAAAAGTTTTATTGTTGTATTCATGCATGACCCATATCTAATTAGTTCAGCGATATCGGAACATTTATTCTAGATACTAGTTTTTTTAATTGATGATATGCTTGTAAAGTATAGAGACAAATGTAATTTAAAAAGTATAAAAAGTCAATATATCCTGATTTCTTTGTATTTGTTATAGTCTGGAGTCTGGGCTTATAGTGAAGGATATGGAGATAACGAACAGTATTCAATCTCAAATTCCATAAAACAATACAAAATAAGAGCAGAGCAAACACTGACCATCGAAACATCAGAGGTGGGATCAGGTGTCATGGATGAGTGAGCATCTCCTGCCGACCGATCACACCCGCCGAGTGCTCTTTGTCATGATCAGGAAATAACGGAAAAAATCCGTCGTCAGTTCAGTGTATAAATAATGGACTAACACTTGGTATGAAAAACGTCAGTCAGCATTTGACTCAATGATAAATTATGTTTGCTGACAAGGTCATTGTATCGACCATAGAACTTACAAAATGATGACTTTAAACGAGACTGCTTATATTCTTGTTTTATTAACTTACTTGTCAATAATTTACCTCGTTTCAGAAGTTGTTAATGCGTAGAGCATGCTCTTGCGTATCGAATCAAGTGAGATATATATATTCCGTATGCAGGTGAAAGGTGAACATTTTATTCTAGAACAACATTATATCAATCATGTTATTTTGTTTATTCTATGTATCCATTTTAAATGAACTATAAATGCATAATTCAATTCTTTTCTGTAATAAATGATAAATTAAACACGTCCCTTAATTCCCAACATATCTAAATACGGTTGAGCTAATGCCTTTAAAAAAGGCTTTGGAATTGCAGCCATTTTCATACATGTACTATTTCGATCTCCTTTAAAAGAAGTTTTCCATATATTGATATTCAAAAATGATAAAATTTTAAAGTTAAAATATATAATTTTTTTTCTTTGTCATTGATAGTTGACAGCTTAAGATACATGTACCGTATGTAAAAAATAAGTTAACTCTGGTGGTTATTTTTTGGTTAATTTGTTGACCCCCAGCTTCATAAAAATTGATCATCAAACTTTAGCTATTTGGTCCATGAATTTTAAATGTTATGTTCTAATTCCACCAAATATAAACCAAAGATAAATTATTGATACTCTTTTTCAAAAATAAAAAAGCAATATTATACTTAACAACCCTAAGACCGGTGGATTTAAGGGGAGACAGGAAAAATAGCATCTGGCTCAGAAAACAGATAACATCATAGTCGCTGCTGATGTTTTCTTTCAACATTGATTATAAAAAAAATAAAAACAAAAGTTTTTATAGATTTTGCCAAGATGTATTTCACATAAAAAAATTTATCTACTTTCCGTATTCGTATTCATGTAACCTGAGCGAAAGCTCAAGTAAGGAATGGGTTACTTGTAATATGTAATGGTAATTGATTGTAATTAATTACAAATTTCGATGTAATTTAAAGTAATGTGTAATTGACCAAATTTTCAATTACAAGTAATGGTAATTAGATAAATTTCTTTCCAAAAAGGCATGTACTTCACAATTTTTTTTTCAATTACATTCAATCACAGTGA